ACCAACCAACCAACCAACCAACCCACCAACAAACAAACAAACAAACAAACAAACAAACAAACAAACAGTGTATCATAGGGGGGTGTCAAGGCTTGTAAGTAGCCATCAGTTATGGAGTCTACAGAGCAACAAATTCATCCAATATGCTTGAAAGGTGTCTTCGCTTGTGTACGCACATACTGCAGCCCCAGTTTTCCCCTCGATGGGGAAGTGCACTCACTTATACATAGCAGCAGAGTCACATCGCCAGACACTGAGATCCACTGTTGACTTGCAACTATAGTGCCGAAACAGTCTAACCAACTTGTTACAGCATAGGGGCTGTGAGAACTACCTTCTTCCCCCGAATACAATGTACGGTCATTATAGCTGTACTTAGACTGAAAGATACCCCAAATACAGCTATAATGACCGTACATTGTATTCGGGGGAAGAAGGTAGTACGCAAGTTGAAACAACAATGGCCCCGGCTGTGTTTCTGTACATGGGACGCTGGACCCGGTTTCCAGCAGGTGCATCTCCCCACCAAAAGAACGGAGCAGCTGCCTCCGGGTCTGCTAGGGGGGTGCGCTCGTATCACCCTCCCTAGCAGCACAGTGCTGGCTTTCAATCAAAAAAAAAAAAAAAAAAAGTTAAAAACATGGCTAAGACTCCTAAGAGAGCTGTTTCACTTAAAAACGAAAGGGGAAGTCTTGGCAGAACAATAGAGAGAGGTTACAGGAGAGCCACAGAGAAGACAGGAGCTGCACTGACATTGCAGAAAAATGCTCAAGTGTTGAATGCGATCGGAAGATGAAGAACAGCAAAGCTATGGTGTATTGTCGTTGACTTCTTCCAAAATGTCCTCTTTTTCTCCATTTTCCACATCATTTAGTTTTTGGCACTTATTGCATGGCCTGGTGTCAGTTTCAGCACCCTCGAAATGTGCCAATTGCTTCAAAAGTCCATATAGGTCTTTAGAATGTCCCATAGGGTCCCATAGCAGGGTTAACCGCGGGTCCGATATAGGTCTAGGCGAGGTGTGGGCCCCAGGTGGAGTGGATGTCCTGTACTGATGCACCTAGGGTGTATCTGCCGTAATTCTTACCCCACCCCGCTCGCTGAAAAATGGGCAAGGTCTGTCGACTGGTCCAAACTTCAGCCCATGGTACATAACTGAGACCGATAGGTCCAGCACCAACCACCCAAGCTGCCAGTACACACCACACTGCATATATGCATGGAGAGGAACACTTGCCACTGTTGCCAGGTAATCATTATTCCGTGCTCCTGCTGCTGCTGCTACTGCTTCTGGACTCACTGGATTCTGTCAAGTTGTGTCATCAACCCTTTTTTTTTTTTTTTTTTTTTTTTTTTTTTTTAAGCCGAGGTCTTTGTAGAGACCACGGACCAGACCCACGGTGATCGCTGGCAGGCAGGTTATGTGTATATACTATATTAGTATATTTACTATTTAGTTGATCAATGGCTACCAAGCCCATCTGAGTGAATGGTACAGAGTCTACAGACACACTATTGTTAGTGAAACAGAGCATGAGTTTGAATCCTGATGATGGAATCAGATGGGTACAACAATGTTAGGCACTACTCCCTTTGGTGAAAAAAAGAAAAGTAGTGTATCGTCCGCCCTATCATCCGCCCTATCATCTGCCCTATCATCCGCCCTATCATCTGCCCTATCATCCGCCCCTTTATGTGCGTATGATATCGTTTGTGTGTCAGTCTCTGTTTTTTTTTTTTGGTATTGTTTTGTTTTTGTTTTTGTTTTTGTTTTTGTTTTTTGGCGATTGATGGCTCGGTCTACTGTCAGGAGCGCTATGGACATCCTCCGACAGTGGCCTTTTGGCATTGGCTCCTGTCTATTGGTGCGGAGCGTCACCTCCAGCAGGTGACGCTCCCCACCAATAGACAGGAGCGAATGCCAAAAGGTCACTGTTGGAGGATGCTCATAGCACCCGTGACAGTATCTGTTATTTTTGCTTGTTTTCATGTTTCCATGCCCTTTCTGTCACTGGACTGTTTGTTTGTCTGCTTGCTTGATTATATGGATACCCACTTGGTTTAGAGTTACAGGCTCGTGTGTCTATGGTTGTCGAACAGTCACCCAATATGAACCTCCCCTCCATCCTTCGAAGACAAAGGGAGACAATAAAAAAAGTGCAAGGCTCCCGATGGCTGTATCGTTGACTGCAAAGTGCCCACTTACCTGTCAATAAAAAAAGTGCAAGGCTCGCGGAATGAACCAGCAGGAAAACTTGCAGTCCACTTGCCCTTTTTTGTTGAGCCCAACAGCTTCCTTCGCCGTTGCACTATTCCGGGCCTTCGTCGTCGAGCCCCGAAATTTCCGGAGAGAGCCTCTCGTGAGTCGCAAGTTGCCTGGAGGCATGTGCTGCTGGTGGTTTACGAGCACAAGGAGCGAGAAGAAGGGGTGGCCTTCTACCTCACCGGGGGTAAGATAAGGTCATTCATTGATTGACAAGAAGGTAAGTGCATGAAGAAGGGGTCACTGGAGGGTGGAGGGAGTCTCCGAAGAAGGTATGCCCGCAACTCACCCCATTGATAGCGCAACGTCTGAAAAAGACGTAACGTTGTCCTGCTCCTGGCCAGGCTTCTTTGCAAGTTTCTCCACGAATACATGACAGGTGCCAACTACAGCATGAAAAGCACCCAAAAGAGGGGCAACCTGCAACCAAACAAGCACAAAGATAGAGTAGGGAGGAAAGTCTGAAATGGCTTTCAATATGAGATTTTAAGCTGGAATATATGGCGTCAGCCAGTTGGTTTTATTATTTTTTTAAAGTTTTTTACTGCATCCTTACCAGAATGTGAAAGATTCCAAGATTACTATTCAATCTGCCAGAAGCTGAACAAGAATTAGTATAGTACCAGCCAATCAAGTTTTCACACTGAATATTCTGGTATCAAATTTTGAATCTTCTGTACTGCTTCATACTTTAAAAAATGCGAGGGCATACTCACACTTGCTTCATACTTCCAACTTATTAGGTCATACTCACACTAGACCCTTTCACTCATTTATGGACGCAATTGGGCCCACATACATCCCGCTCAAGCCATAAATACGGTCAGATCCATTCGCGAGAGACCTAGTGTGAGTATTCCCTTAGTCTCATCTTTATTTGCTGTACCACCTAGGCTACCAGAGTGGCCTGGGTCCACTTGCCCCGCCGGGCCAAAAAGAAATAAAAAATAAAAAATAAAAAATAAGAATTATTTTAAAAAATAATTCTTTATTGTAAATTTGGTAAAGAATTTCGATGTGACCAGGGTAACCGGACGGGCCAAACGCCCGAACCCGAACGCCCGAACCCGAACGCCCGAACGTATGGGACCCCTTGGGGATACGTTCGGCCGTTCGCGCCGAACGCGGAAAAAAAAAAAAAAAAAAAAAAAAATCAAAAAAATCTGAAAAACAAATATGTTTTGAAGAGAAATAAATTAAACAAGATTTGCCTGAGCATAACATCC